GGAACTGTTTTCCTTCGTTCCCCCGAAGACTTATGTCTGTTTTCTGACCCATGCTTAACTTCGCGGTTTATCGAGCCGTCGTCCTGAAATCAGTTGATTCGCAAACTTCTGTGGAGGGTGGCGTCCATTTAATTTTTTGTTATCAGGTTGCCAGGTTTGAGGATTTGACGTTGAGGACTCGTGGTGTGAGATTTGGGGTAGGTGTACGCTGTGGTGTAGGAACACGCATAACTCGAACTGAAACAGCAAACAAGCCCCAAATCCTCAAACAAAAACCCATACTTACCTTGAGCTGAAGTCCCAAAGTACAAACCAGTCTCATCGGCCAAACACGGAATCGTTCAGTCCTTACAAGGAAATCCCAGAGACTCCCTGAGTCCCCATCCGCTCTCCAATTGAGAGCTAACATACGCATTAGGGTTTAGGGTTTAGACCCTAAGCCCTCAACCCTAACTTGGGAAATGTTGGTGAACCCGGGCAGGAACCGGAAGCCCGAAAATCGTAATGAACACTAGACTCTAGACGGCAAACCGTCCTGAGTCCTGGCGCTCATGGACAGGGTTCAGCTGAAGTTGAGGTGTACAGGGCACCACCAGAGCACCCTCCTTTGCCGTCCACTCAAGACGGCGATCCCGACTACCTCCCTCCCGACTATGGTGCCGGCTGCGGCGCAGGATCAGCTGGAGAGGGAAAATAGGAGAAACCGCGAACGCATTCTCACCCGCGCAGGGTCGCTGTGAAACCAAAGCCTTCTGGGACAAGCTGCTCCACCCATAGGGTCCAAGTAGCATTGTAGTAGGTCTCTGGGCCCCCGAAGTATATACCCCTAAGGGTCCATGTACTCATATAGTATATACATTGGCCTTAATGTAGTCCCTATATACATTGGGGCCCATGTATCTCTATATGGGTACATGGACCCTTAGGGTACTATACCATTACTTGGACCCTTTGGGCCAGGAGGCTCTGCAAAGAGCCCTAAATCCAAACCCTGAGCCGAACCTATACTTTGGGAGGGTTGTCAAAATTAGGGTCCCCTTGTGGGTACCCTGAATTCAAGGGATTCGGAACACATGCTCGCCGAAGGTCCGTGCTTCCAGGCTGCGAACGTGCTCGCTCAGTTGACTTTTCAAGGTCCATGGGGGCTATGTGTCAAGTGGCAGAGCAAACATAGTCTCATTGAAACATGATACTTAAGGCTGCATTTAGGATTCCCGGCTGCCATGGCATCCTGGCGGGATAAGATTTTGGAGGTGGCCCCTTTTGTGGGGAATGCTGACTATTTTTATGACTGCCCAGCCTTCCGCCGTGAAAGAATCCTGCACCTGTTCGAGTTTGGCAACTCCTTGTGTGCAAATGCACTAGATCGCGATCCTTTGTGGCAATATGAGGGTTTGTGACTGCTTGATTTGTTTTGATTTCAGAGAACCATGAAACGAATATTCCACGATAAGGAGGGCTTCCCCAGCGCCGCCGTGGACGACGAGTCTTTGCTGACGAGTCGTGGTCAGGAGCTATGTTGCTTGATAGCAAATAAACGACATCCGTGTTCTCATCTGAATGGCTTGGCAAGCAATTTTCTCACTGAGGCTTGATTATGACGGCAAGGGTTTTGCCTGGAGGGCTGGTGCTTATCGTGTGCCTGGATTCAATTAATTAGTTCAGTCATTGATGATACTGGGCATGGTTGTTTTTCAGTCCTGTTCCGGAGAAACTGAGGCCGTTCCATCGTCAAGATGTCCGGGAGGAGGATGTGAAGGCGGTGGCAGTGACTCGCCTTCGATTTGTGGTCGCTGCTGCTTCGGGGTTTTCGTGCTTGGGTGCCATTCGCAGCCCAGGCATTCTTGACTGTGGTGGCCCGGCTGTGCGCCTGGATTAAGGTACGACTTATTATTCAGCTGTATGAGAAATATGCCGCCTGGGTGGAGTCCGATCCAAAACTGAAGGACAGTCTGCAGTAACTGGGGCTAGGGACGGCGAGGAATTGAGTTGACAGCAATGACATATGCCTTGATCTTCATTGCCGTGCGAGCAGGCAGCCAGCAATGATCTGAAGTATTCCAGGGTGATGCTGCCCCTGGGTGTGTTCGGGGCCAGCAGCCAGCCGCTCGGTTGCATGTGTTTTCGCATTTCGATTTTTTTTCGAGTCTGTTGACTAGCTAATCCAACCCAGGAGCAGCATCTTGCTTTGGGGATCCGACCACCTCGTTATCAGATCCATGAAACACATTTCTGGGCGGCTCCTGAGAATGCAGCTTGTTCGGAATTAGGGAATTCAGTTGCTTGTGTTTTCTATCCTGTGCTGCTCAGGTTCTGTTGGGTGGCCAACAAAAAGAACTCCGCCTTCCCCGCACCGCCGTCGTTGGTTGAGGACCGCACGGCGACCTTTGTGTATGCCGCCACTCGCCTCTAACTTCAGCCTTTGAGCGGTTTAGCTGTGTGCTTTGTGCCTGGGTGTTCCAAATCTCCGCTTCAGATGGTGGACGTGCTGCTGCTCAGACACAAACGAACTGTGGAGAGTTTGATCTCGCTGCACATGGTCCGTGTTTTGGATGAGATTACCAGAGATTTGGTGAAGCAGGCCAGGGCGATTGCAGGAGTTCATCTCAAACTTGTTTGGTTGAAACAATAAAACTGGTCCCTGAGGACCTTGACGGCTGTTACAGCTCCTACGTTCCGGAGAGACGGTTCCCAGACTTTTGCCGCGACCCACGCCGGGACATGAAGTTCGAGGCAACATTGTAAATCTCGTTCCACATACGTCTTTGACTTGAGCCGTGAGTGCTAGTGGTTTCATGAAATTGTAGCACCCTTCTTCTTCCTGCCCCTACAGATCAGCGAATTCTATGTGACTCGGCCCGTCGGGCCAACCACCCTGATTGCGGCGACGTGGCTGCATGAAGTGTGTGCTGCTGGCTTCGGTTCTTTCTGCTGCATGTTGTCGCTTTTCGCTGTGTGCTTGTGTTCGCACGTCGCTTGGAACGGTTTCTATTCTGGTGCGGTGGAGTGGGACTTAGCGGAATTGCTGAGGCAGCCGAAGCCACTGTCGTGGACTTTATGGGCGAGGACCAGCCTTTGCCCAGATAGTCGAATGTTTGGCTCTGTGTCTGCGACCGTAGCTGGCTTGATTGATTGAGTGTAGTTCATCGACTAATAGTTGACTGAGGGTTCTTTGAATCGGAATTTGTGGGGATGGGGATGGCCGACTTCTGCAGGAATGGGAAATCCTGGCAGCTGGTGGGGCCTGAAGATGGCGAGCAAAAGTTGCTCGGATTACAACAGTAAGCTAGAACGTGGGATCCCAAGTAAAGTCGGTGTGATCTAAAACCTTGGAGTTATCAGAACCGAAGAGCACGTAGTAATGCTAATAAATTAACGGGTTCATGGAGCAATCAGTGACTTGCTTTGCACAAGCAGCGGCACGCACACAGACAGAGACTCACGCAGAGGCTTTTTTGACTGTCACTCATTGCAGCTTCGATATTTCAGGCACTGCTGTGATCGGCGGTGGACCGTGGGATATGATTATTATGATGAGATCTGGAAAGATCAAATTTTGGTGGCTCGATGACTGCGATGATATTTTATCCGATTATCTGATAATCTGGGGACTGGCACTGGCAGGCTGCTTGGATTGAATCAATGCAACACTGAATCAGGCCACACGGCTCTCAGCTGCAACTTTGGTCGTGCTGCGATTACAAGGATTGATTCGATAGTCTAGTGTTGGGCCATTGAATCTGGGTTGGGTCCGTAGTCTGGTAGTTGTGGTGAGTTCCATAGTTATAATGTTATAGTGCACTAACTAGATTGTGCAAATATGCTTACATATGTAAATACCTACTTCAGATCGAAGTGCTGGCTTCTGAATGCAAACCCAATGCAATGCATTCAATAGACAAATAGAGCCATACTGACTGACTAGATACCACGGTCTAAATACTTCTGAATCCTGAGTTGAACCACAGTAGTATATAGGGTTATACAAAACAACTAAAGGATGAAGTCAAGTACAAACCCTGAAACAATGCCCTGAACCATTCCCGCAACTTTGGGGCTTCTTGGGACGCTCGAGTCATCCGTCATAGCTCGTATTTAGTTAATTAGTCAATTTGTGAAATAATAATTGAATGCCCTATGCCTACTTGAACTCCTTTCGGTAGTTTGGGTGTCTTAGTCATAACATACTTTATCATAACTTAATAACTACCGGTCTCCGCTGGTACGAGGTCGCGATCTAAATGCAATTGCAGGGCATGTTGCACTGAACTGACTAAGTTGCAGCCGATTGGGCTATTGCTGCTGGGGCATCTGGAGTGAGTGATGCTTGATTTATGTATCATGAAGGTTTCTCCCTCATTGGCCGAAAACAGTCATGAATCGAGAGCCCTCAATCTCAGGTGCAGAGCAGCAGGCCAGTGGCAGGCTCCTGGGCACAGCTCCGACGTCTGTTCCGGGGAATGAAAAGCGAGGGCTCTGATGGGCTGATTGGAGTTTGCCTTGCAAGTGAAGCCAGCACTGAACGGAGTGTCAAGCTTGTTGCACTTGGCTTTCGATTCGAATGCTTCGACATTGCTCACGCATGGGCTTCAGGACAGCATGCACCAGTCACTAGACACGAGACTTGCAGCAGGCAACTTGAGGAGCCACGTGGTTTTCACTGAGGGCTTTCATGAGGTCCAGGGCCGAGTTCTGATTAGTAATGCCAATTTGGCTGGGCTGGGCTGCTGCTGGATTTGTAAAACACTTGGACATTTCCCTAAGTTGCCTTGCTCCCTGCGATCCTGCCAATGGTTCGCCTGAACAACGTGCCCAGTCGCGGGGTCATGAGGCCCGGTTGGACCAAACACAGCATGATCTGATGGTATCGGTGCAGGTTGCTTACAAATGACGACCGATGTTGCGAAAGTAGCCTTTGCCAGGTCGAACTCCATGCGATCTTTGCCGGGCGCATCGGCCGCAGAGGAAGCCGAGGATCCGGCTAGAAGCTTCATGCTGCAGACGGCCCGCAAGAGCTTGGATGATGTCCTCGCGGGAGCAGGCCGCTTGGGTGCACTCAGACTCATGCCACATGCCATTTGAAGCTGATTGTGTGCTGCATTTGGGCAGCATCTCAATTATCAGTGAATGTCTGCTTCCTTTGTCATTCTCTACATTTCATCAACAACACGACAAGCTCTCAAAGCTGCAAGCTTGGACCGTCTCCATCTCAGGCAGCAGCAAGGACGAGAAGCCCAAGGAGAAGAAGGGAAAGAAAAAGGATGGAAAGAAGGATAAGAAGAAAAGCTCTAAGTCAAAGAAGAAAAAGTCGAGTCTGCTGGCTGGCAAATAATAACAACAGACAATAGCTTAATCATTACACTTGCCTGCTCAATCCCATAACCCTGAACCTCGAGCCCTTCAACTACTTACTTGCAGTCTCGATTGCCTCATCCCAGGCAGCTCCAGCAAGACCAGCTCGGATGATGAGTCCGTCTCGGTGGCTTCGTGCGATGTGGATGATGCAGCATCCTTACTTGGGCTTTCCAAAAAGGAGCTGGTGAGGCCGGTTGAGTGCATGCGGCTGGACGACTTGAACACGAAGCAGATGGCAATGGTTCTTTCCGGTGTCACGGAACTGCTGCCGGCGAGCGACATCTATGAGACCGGGGGAGAAGTTGTGCTTTGGGCTGAATAGTTAGGTATGTCCCTTGTTCTCAATGTCGTGGTTTCGCAGCTTGTTGTAGAGGGTTATTGCTCAGGTCGAGGGTCCACGTGTAGTCTTTTATTAATACAAATTAAACTATTAAACTTTACTAATTAGGGTGTGCGAGGATTCTTTTCCTTTGTGCTCGTACTCGGGTCTCTGTGCAGGAGTGTCGTCTGTGTTTTAACTACGAGAGACGAGGTTGCAAGATGGTTCCGGCTGTCGTCTTGTCTGCCTGAGTTGTTAGTTGTTCTGTGTATGTTTGAGAAATATGACTTTCAGGGCCGAACAACATACTAGTCACGGTTTTGACCAAGGGCTTCTCTCTTCATCCTCGATTGCAGGAAACCCTCTTGATGGACCGCTGCAAGATGGCAAGCAAGGCCCGCAAGAACAAAGAGGAGCAGCTGAAGTTCTCCTTTGAGGCCCAAACCATTCCTTTATTTAATAGGCACTTAGGCATGCCGAAGTGCAGAAGAGCTGCAGTGTCGCATGAGGAGTCTGGCCTGGAATTGCAGGGCTTCGATTTTTCGCCCGGGGGATTGATTGAAGCGAAGGTTTGCACATGTGGTTTATTTTTATCGTTGGCCCAAGTTAGGAATGACTGTGGTCCGTGGATGATAATAAACATAAGCACCCATATGGAACAATGCATTGCACATGGTTCTGTGCTATAGTCGAAGTGTTTACCTGGCTATCATTGATACTTACTACTGATGAGCATGAAACAACTAGTTTACTGAAGGTAGCTTCTTCATTCTATTGATTTCCTTAAACCCACGAAACCAAGTACCTGTATACATCCGGCATAATGTCACCCAAACTGCATTTCCCTCGTTTAGTAGCGACAACCGTGTAAGTGACAGTTGTTTGCAATGATCCCGGAAATAAAACATCCTGAGCCCAAGCCACCGAGCCCGCTCTCACTCCTCGCCTGTGCAGGTCAAGACTGCGAGTACTGTGTGGAAGCGGAGGATGAGCGAACTTGTCGGGGTTCGTTCCTTGGCTGCTCAGGTTTTATTATATTAATTGTGGAGGATTCGGAGGGCTTACAGGGCTTATTGGGGCTGTTATGTTTGGGATACCTGTGCTGCGATTCTCTTTCCAGAATCTGATTTAGTGTGCATTCACGCAGATGTCCGAAGCTAGCCTGGGCACGCCGATAGGTCTAGGTAGTCTGTCCTTGAATGATTTGTCGCTGTGCTAAATCTTGCTTAATCTCTTATAAACGTACAATGTAGAAGAGAGCAGAAGTGCCCTTGTACAACGGCAGTCCCTGTGTCCACAGATAGAGTAAGAGGACGCTTTTATTGTCACGAGGCATGGATTCATTAGGGGGGGCAACTTACAGGTAGGCGAGCAGTCTTCCCTTGATTCCAGATCCACGGCCCCGGAGTTCAGTGCACGCCCAGACCCAAGACCCATGGCAGTTGAATAAATACAGAATAAATTGTTATGGACCTAGGATATTTCTCTTGTTACCTGAAACCCGAATGCCCTCTGTGCTGCAGTTTGTGGCCGGGCCCCGCCCAACATTCCGCTCGGCAACGCGAAGACGCTCTCCGAAAGTGCCGCCTTCCTGAGAAATCTCTACAAGAAGCATTGCAGGTGTGCTGGGCTGTTGTATTGTGCTTGTCTAGCTTCAGAACACGGGTCTTCTGTGATTTTTCGATGTGGGCTCATTCCTGGGAGGAAGACTGGAAAGGAGAATGTGGAAGCAAATCTACAGAGTGTCCTGAAGAAGCTTCGCGAGGTGCTGATTTTAACTCTAAATGTCCACCTGCTTGCTGTTGCTGTTAGGCTATGTCTGGCTATCTTCCCAGCACGATTAATACTTGTCAGGCCTCGACGAAGGACTTGAACAACCAGCTCAAAGGAGAGGCGAAGAAGCCGGCAGAGACGGCCAGGAGGCCCAAACCAACGCTGAACGAGGAGCCCGTCCGAAAGCGGCCCCGCGAGAGCGAGGTGAAAGAGGAGCCCTCCCTCCTATATGGACAGCCAGGCGAGTGGGGAAGCCAGCCAAGCCGAGCCCGAGCCCGAGGGTGAGGAAGCCGTGAAAAAGGAGGAGGATGACGACGACGAGGATGTGTTTGCCGGCAAGTTCGGCCAAGGCACAAAGACCCGCGGCGAGGATGCCATCGAAAAGGTCGGCACGAGTGCCAAAAGCCTCCTGGAGCAGTTCGACTCAGGGCTCACTTCCCTGTTCCCGAAAGACTTGTCCGAGCCCTCCGGTAGCATCTTTCTTTTAAGGTTCTTCTGTCCGGCCTCCGTTTGCCTTGTTGTTTCGTTCATGTGCACAATCCAAGGAGTGATATGACAAATTGGATCCGGATGCTGGCTAAAGAATGCTTGCTCAATCTTGATGACCTCAAGGCGGCCTTGAGGATGCCCGGCAACTTGCTGCACTATTCAATGAGTGTGTGTTGTTGACTTCCCACGACCGCAGCTCCTGCCTATATCGCAAATGTGCACTCTCCTTGTTAATCCAGGCACACTGTCGCAGAATCTGAATGTGGGCAAGTGCTACTACAACAAGATGTCGATGAAAGCCAAATCTGTGTTGGATGCTTGGTGCCAATCCATTGTGTCTGGCGAAGCTACTTGTCTGAAATTCTTCGTTCTACTGAACATACTGATGTGCACGGAACCCAAGCTATACGGTGAAGCTTTGCATCCGCGAGGCCTTCGTGACTCCCAGCCGCCGGCCAGCCATCACGAATTCCAAGCACACCTGAGGCCGAGGGCTTGTTTCTGATGGAATTTTGAGGCTGCTGCTTCCGCTACCGGGGCTCTATAACCCAGGCCGGGACGAGTTAGTCTAGACTAGTGACTAGTAGTAGAGAACTTCACTAGACTAGAATCTTTTACTGCTTGGCTGCTTCGTGCTTGCAATTGATTCTTGACTTTCCTGACGGAACATTGTAAGCAAAAGGCTAGGAATGGTCGTGCTATTACCCAGACTAGACGTCCTTAGGGTTTTAGGGGTGTTAAATCTTGGTTGGATAATAGGCTAAGGTGTTCTTCTCGGAATTTTGAGCAGGAGCAGCGAGAGTGGCCTGTCCAATACTTGCACATGTGCTGGGGCGGAGGCATAAAACAAACAAGCAAAGGTCGCAGATTCGATTCCCCGAGACTGTTGCTGCTGTGCCATTCTTGAGCTGTGAGACTTGCACAGACATGTGTGTCATTCTCGATTCGATTCTTAAAGCTTTGGCTTTGCAGAATGCACCGAGGGCAATATCGCAAAGCTTTCAACCACAGTCTCGTCCTTCACCTACTGCGACACCCAAAACCCAAAGCACCCAGAGAGCCTTGGGATCACGACTGCTAAGGTCCCGAAGTTTAGTATCCTAGTGCGACACCCACAACCCCAAGCACCCGGAGATCCTAGGGACCACGACTGCTTAAGTCCCCGAAGTTTGCCGCCCAACTACTTGTTTAGTAAATAAATAGTCAAGTAGTTAGCTGGTTAGATAGCTATCACATTTGTAATAGTTAGCTAGTTAGCTAGTCAGTTAGTTAGTTAGTTAGTTAGTGAAACTTAAATAATAAAGAATTAGGCGGGCACAAACTAACTAACTAATATAAAGAATCGCTTTGGGAGATGGGCCGACTCTCTGGGGTTTCTGAGGCCTCCCCGACTAGTCTGCAACCGACAATGAGTCAGTATTCTAGAATAGTGGCTTATGCTATACTTCTGCACCCTGCCAAGAAAAGCCTCCATGACTAGTCTAGATTAGATGCAGCCTTTGCCCGGCCGATTGGCACCTGCTCCTGGTCCTGGTGGATCGCAGCCGATCCACTGGAGAGCCTCGCCTTGGAATTCAATGCCGGGAGGGGGTCGGAGCCGGGGGAGTCCGGAAACCAGAATGTGCTGCAAGAGAAGTTTAGAAGGCAATTGGAGGTTTTCGGCGATTTGGGCCGGTGTTTCGCTTGTCGCTGCAGTGCAACGTGCTCGCTCGCACACAACGTGCTCGCTCAACTGCAACGTGCTCGCTCACACACAACGTGCTCGCTCGCCCGCAACGTGCTCGCTCGGGAAGATTTTGCCGACACGGTGTCGCACGGTTCCGGCGCAGAACTGCGAGCGAGCACCCTGTTCTACTAAACCCCACACACGGCCGCTAAATGCAAAAACGTCCAGGCATCCAACGTGCTTGCTCGACAGGCTAGGATTTAAAAGAATGCGTGCTCGCTCGACATTATTGTCCCGCACCCTGCCGCACCGCGACCGCTGAGCCACCACCCTAACCTGAGCGAGCACTCTCGCCAACGCCAACGACCCAGGACGAGCAACGGCTCAATGGCCGCGATACACTGGCTACGGGAGAGGCTCAAGCAGCTCTCCGAGTTACTGGGCAAGCACCGTGCTCGCTCGTTCTGGAGCACCGAATCAGACTAGGCACTGGCCCCGCCATCCGAGGTGTGAAGATCCTTCTGTGCGGGAGGAATTGCAGTCGAAACTGCAGCATAAGATTATCATTGTGGATGTGCATCTTCAAGAAGGAAAACCCATCGGCGAACTCGATGTCGACAAGGCTTCGTGGGAGGACTAGCACTTGCACTTAAGCTTGCTGAGTGTCCTGTGCTGAGCTGCCCTACAACAGGGAAGAGAGAGCGAGCGAGAGAGAGAGAGAGAGAGAGAGAGAGAGAGAGAGAGAGAGAGAGAGAGAGAGAGAGAGAGAGAGAGAGAGAGAGAGAGAGAGAGAGAGAGCGAGAGAGAGAGAGAGAGACAGAGACAGCGAGAGAGAGGGATAATATGTGTATAGAAACAGGGAGCCAACAATTACAGCTCATTATGGGTCCTGAGTCATAGTCGGGAATGACCGAAAACAGCTTAAGAGAGAATTGCAAAGTGTGTGTGTGTGTGTGTATATGCACGAGACGAGAATGTCTGAGGTGTGAGCATGTTTTTGCGAGAAGAGGGAAAGGGGAACGCATCAGAAACGAGCAGCTGGTGATTTACAGGTTTCTATTCAATTTAAAACAATACAGGAACTTTAGGTCTCAATCCATCCGCTTAGGCAGTCACCTAGCCGTGTTACTCGTTTGTTATGGACACCAGCACTCAAGATGCCCCTGCCAATCATGTCGCCATGCCATGTATAGGTATGTCATTCTCTTTGTCCCTTGTGCTGTAGCTCCCTCACAGACTCTTGCTCTCTCGCTCTCTCTCTCTCTCTCTCTCCCTTTCCCTCTCTCTGGCTCCGCCTGTCTCCTCCTCTCTCTCTCTCTCTGACTCTCTCTCTCTCTCTCTCTCTCTCTCTCTCTCTCTCTCTCTCTCTCTCTCTCTCTCTCTCTCTCTCTCTCTCTCTCTCTCTCTCTCTCTCTCTCTCTCTTTCTTTCTCGCTCACCATCTCCATCTCTCCTGTTCTCTCTCTCTCTCTCTCTCTCCCTCTCTCTCTCTCTCCACCCCTCTGTCGCATTTTCCATCACAAGCTGAGCCTGTCTTACGGTCTGTCTCTCTCTCAAGACTCGAAATCTAATAAGTTCTGAAACAGGACGCCATTTGCAAGCAGCGAACAGAAGCTGCACAGCAGCTGGTGCCATTGCGGCCGAGACTCTTTGATCAGCTCCAACGACGACGGAGCGAAGAACAGATTATTCAGGATGATGCAAGCTCGGAGACGCCGAGCCCCGGGTGCGACTACACCCCCACGGAGATTGAGTACCTTAGATTGGACAGGCCCCTGCGAGGGGTCCTCCAAGTGCACAAGGCAGGTGGGGTTAGCTGTTGTATCTAGAATGTAGTGTAAGTGGGGCCTTGGTTCCACCCGAAAATTGTGTCTCTGGAACATGTTTCTGAGGTTTCAGCGGAAAACCAGTTGCAGGGCTACAGATATCTCCTCAGGGCGGAGGAGCTGTGGGCTATGACCAAGCGATCGCAACATTTCACGAACTGGTGCACAAAATTGCCGCTCGACTGCACCGGTCCCAGAAGCTTTCAAGGTTCAATTTCATGGCAAGAATCCAGAGTGCCAGGCAAGACGGGCTCGGCCTCGACATTGCCGAGGCTTGGCATGTGGACCTGGCCGTTCACATAATCAGGAAAGCTTCCTACAAGGGCTCTGGGGGAAGGGTCGACGCCGGCAGACTGAAGCTGCCTTTCGACGGGGTCACTCTCCCCGGCACCATATTTCTGGTGCCCTGAAAGCATTCATTCGGTTTTGCATAGCGAAGTACTTCAGGCTCGCAATGGGGTGTGTCGGGAATTACTCAGGTCTCCTACGTGCTGCAATCGCGAGGATGCAAACCTGTGATTCAGCGATCCGCTCTGCAATGCCTCACAGCTTTGATTTCCGCTTGCATCACCGAGCCGCTGAGCATCTCTCTTCTTCCGGGCAACCAGCGGTGTCCCTTGCCTCCTTGGCTGTTTTGTTTGTGCTGGTGGGATGCATTCACAAACCGAGGCTGCCTGAAGATATCCCGGGGATGTGTGAGTTTGGAAAGCTGGCGAAACTTCCTGGACTTCGCTGGCTTGCAACAGAGGCTTTTGAAGTTTGGCTTGTACGTTTCCAAGATGCCATAATCTCGAGTCTGATGTCTGCCTGCAGGTGGCAAAGTTGCAAACTCCTGGCGAAGGAAGAGCAACGTGTTGATACAGGCTGACGGTTTCGGAACCTGTCCTATTTATATTTAATTAACAACTACTTTCCCTGCCCAGGCATCCCTCTGGCAACTGCCACCTGGTTTATTCTTCGGCTACATCATCAGGAGGTGCTTCAGGACAGGACCCCGGGAATGTTTTCTTAACTCCTAAATATACAACAACAATAGTTGAATATGAAAAGAGTAGCCTACAAGCATAGTTCAAATCGTCGAGTCTGGGCGCTGATTCGTCGACATAATGACAGGTCCTGCTTCCCTCGATCTCAAATAATATTAATAATAGTAATATTAATAATAATAATAATAATAATAATAATAATAATAATAATAATAATAATAAGCCGGAGTTACTACTAATAACCCTAACAGCAACACTAAGGATATGTTAGTAACAATACTGATTACTAAGAACAAAGCACACTTTCTACATTGAAAACATTAATAGAACAAACATTCATGGTAATAGAATTGATAATATTCCGACTAATTAATGGGTTGCTGATATTAACTTAGTGTGAATGATAATATTAATATTAGTTCAAGTACTATTGATCCTTATGACAAGAATACTATCAAGGGTGTTGTATTTCCTACTAGAAATAGATCTTAGTAAACAATACGTAATCAATAGTTCTCGACAAAGCACAAGGATAGTAATCATCGTGAGATACATGACGATCAGAAATGAAAACTAAATGCATAAATCCCCACCAAAACCTTGGGCTCTGAATTATTGTCGCCTCTTCAGGACGGAAATGCTTGTGCAAGGCTGCAGATGAGATTGCTTCATCTGTTGTGCCAAGCAGCAGAGAATCAGATGGGCAACGTCGCGACGACAGAAATGCCTCCGATGCAAGCTGATCACGAGTTCCACCCGGCAACGAAGACGCTTGGCATCAGCAGCACTCATGCCCTTGCTTTGCTTTGAAAGTTCCTGCAATGTCTCCTCGCCCAGAGCCCGAACCCAGCCTCACGCAGGGATGGCCGCAAGCTCCGGGGCGATTGCAAGCCTCGGGCCGAGCTTGCAATTGATAGGTTTATCTCCAGAGGAGGGGGGTTCTGTTCCACCTCCATGGACAGCTCACTGAAAGACGTGGGCCTTGAGTCTATGTGCCCGAGCCACTATTCGAGGACCCTGCACATACACAGCCATGCCCCAAAGCCACGGACTTAGGTTGGCGAGCCTTGCTACTGTGCACTCTGCAGGACAACATCGGATTTCATGTGTAGATACACACGCAAAGCCGAGCTCGCCATCAAGCAGGCAGGTTCTTGCAAACAGAGGCTAAGCTAACATGTGCCCATCCCAGAGGCCCTCGGCAACATGGGGATCAAGTCTGTGGCAATACTATGTGATGCCTCACCAAAGGCTAAGATGGATGCTCTCCGGCCTAAGTTGGACTTTCGATTGTGAATCATCCCTTTTCTGTTTGTGGTGATCAGAACAACTAATTAACAGGTTTGGCTTCCAGTCCTGGCTATCCCCGGTTTGGTCTCGGTGGGGACTTTGCAGCGGCTCTCCACGCTCCTTCCTTCAAATGCCACAGCCGAAGAAAAGCTACAAGTGGCTGCAATGGTTGCAGACTCCCGAAGCAGCACCCTCCTTTCCGATTCCAAGAAGGCTGAACTGAAAAAGAAGTTGCAGCTCGGCCCGCTATAGCTTGTGCTCGGTTTCAGTTGTCGATTCAAAGGATTCCAAAACGAATTCAGGCCGAAGGCTTTGAACAGCATCCGATCGGAACGGTTGAGCAGCCGGCAAGAACTGAAAGCCCTCGGGAATGTGCTCTCACACGTCAACATCAGTTTGGACGACCTCTTCCCGACGCACCCGCTGGCCCCTGCGAAAGAGACGGAAACCCGCGAGCTTTACAAGCCGAAATCCGCCGCTATGCCCTTTCTGTTCGACCGCGAGACCGGGGCGAGCCGATGGGACGTCCCCTTGCACACCGACCACCTGCGATTAGTGGTATGTCCCGACCAAGGAGGACCGATGTTTTGCTGCTACCAGTACCTGGCTCACCTCGGAGCCGCTGTCTCTTTGGTGAGAGATGAGAGAGCACTGAACATTCGGGTATTGCCAACTTAGGCACAAACTCCACGCACACCAGGGAAGGGTGACCTCCTGTTCTCCCGCAGTGAAGCGAGCTTCAGCTGCAACATTACACAGGATCGTTGCTTGTGATGCCATTCAGCATTCTGACCCAGGAATGACTACTTTATGTGGCTGGCTCTTCAGGGCCAGGAAGTCTCCCTGGAATACTTCCGGATTTGGCTGCACCCTCGCCGAAGCTGGATCCCGATATCTTGAAGTTGCAACTTCGCTGCATAAGTAAGTGCATTGCCTTGCCTGTATTCTGAAATGTGTCAGTTTCTTTGTAGTTCCTGCAACCCAACACAAACAAAGGCCACACCCGACGATGTGCTCATGGAAATGTTCCAGCGGGACATACTCAAAGAGACGCTTGTCTTATCCCTATATTAATACTGACGCCTTTGCTTGTTTGCCTGAACCATTGCTAGCCCAGGAACAATATGGAGGAGACCCCGGACCGCCAGCTGAACTTCACGAGGGTGATGGATATCCTGGGCAAAACATGCAAGTCTTTTGGATGCATAGAATTCAGATAGTGTCGATTGCTGTCGTGCGACCACTGATTAGTATTGTTGTTGCAAGGTTTAACGCCGAGACATTTTCGTGGTTCGAGATGGTGCTCCTGGGCTCACACCTCGAAAAGATTTCAAATGAGTGCGACCCTGCTCCTTATCCTGTGGTCGGCTATGGAGGCCCCGAGTCCTAATCCATGTCTACTGTTGCTGCATCTGAGATCATCATTATGAGCTTATGTAAATAACTTGATCTCGTGAGGTCGGCAAGAATCCCTTCAAGATCTTGGAGACTGAAGCCTCCGCCCCGCAGAACCAAAAAAACTACGACAAAGTCGTCGATCTGTGTGTGAAGGCCTTCCCGTCTGTGTCAATCGACAAATGCAATCCTTGACTGAATTGTCCCTACAAACCCTAAACTCAATCCTCCAACCCTCCAGGCGCTCACGAATGAGGAGAGCTTCGGGATCTTCCGTGTGGCCCGCAATGTGCTGGAGCCCTTCCGGGAGCTGTGTTTGGAACTTGTGCCTCGCCTGCAGCCTGAGAGCTCTTAACTTAAGATGATGGCAGTAGTATCTCGTGAACTAGAAAGATGCATCTGACCACCGCAACTAAGCAAGAAACCACCAACACGATGAATGCCCACCGCGACTACACTTTGGAGATGAACCACCACAGCCTAGAGAAGAAACTCAGTGATTTGGCCACCACGGCCTTGAGCAGCAGAAGTCTGGCAATGATTCCAGATGTGGCGGCCCCCGATGCATTGCAGGCTCGTTCGGAGCAAGTGTTAAAGTAGATCCTAGTCTATCACTTGTCACTGCTGTTTCGACATTGACATCCCTAGCCCCTTCAACTTAAACTGGAAAGAAGGTTGGGTTTAAGCTCTTAGTCTTAGTCTTAAATATATTATAACTAATGGATTGCACCGGTGGCTCCCACATGCCTTGAGTCCGACGACCAATGCGGCTTCGTCGTGTCCCAGAATGTCTGAAATTCGAAACCCCAAGCCTCCAAAACCAATACACTTGCTGCAACACAGTAACTATTGAGTTTGTTGTGCCTCAGTGTGTATTAGATATCTTATGTTGGAGGTCCTGAGACTGAAGTTTCGAAGATCCGCCACCTACGAAAGTATTTTGAAAGAGGGTCTAGGGCTCTACCTCGCGACTGTGCACGAGCTGATGCAGTACAGCTTGTATTTACGAAGCAGCCCGCACTGTGCAGCGGCTCTCGTATCTACGAAAGAAGCAGACGATGGCGAGACAAAGCAAAGCATTCTGAAAAGGATGGAAGCAGAATGGCAGGTTGTGCTGAAGATGGAATCAAAGCAGGCATCGGCCGAGGTTTTGTCAACGAGCTGCTACCACACGAGATACCAGCATTACCGGGAAACCATGGGTTGCTTGGAAATGCAGAACTACAAGATGACAACCGAAAGCAAGGAAATGGTATCTGCCTGGAACCCGGCTTTCTGCCAAAGCGCCTCCCTCGAGAGCATGTTCGGAGAGATGACTCATGCAGTCAAGCAAGCTGGGAGAGCTGATTGTGGATCCCTCCCCAATTTGCACGCTGTCTCAGTTCGCAGCTTGTTTCGACGAGTATGCAAGAAGGAGGGCAGCCCGAGTGCTTTGGAGCTTTCGAAGGACGACTGGGTTGGTCCTCAAGCTGCAGGGATCAAGCCAAAGGTGTTCTCGCCAACTTCGGCCCCGACTTGCTTCTTGCCAGCATCAAATCAAACATGTTTTTGGCGATTGTTATTGCGACATCGAGACACATTGTGTTTCAGTTCTCAGGCAAGAATGTGCCGCCAGATGGAATTCTGAAGAACTTCCCCAGCACCTCTGCCTTTTGCCACAACCAGCTTAGCTTGAACACGATGCAGGGTTTCATCAACGCCCAGAGCCGCACGGTTGCACGCAGTCACGGGCCGGTTTGGGGCGTTTTTTTGTGTGGAAGTTGATTTCGGAATGCAAACCTGAGGCAGGGGAAGGAGCCCGCTCACGAGTCCTCCGGGTTTTGGGTTCAAGGATGTTTCGCTCCGGGAATGTTGTTCAAGCTCCAGAACAAGTTCTACGTTTGCACCGGCAAGACGCCGGCAGTCCTGTATGTTGCTCAGATCAATTATGCTTGGAGCACGATCTAGAACATGAAATGTGTTGGGCCTCGTGAAACAATGCTCACCTGAGGCTGTGCGATTGAAGGAGCTCCCGTACAAGTTTGCCGGCCCTTTGCCGGAGCAGCAAAGCGATGAGACCAGGGTTCCGTGCAGAAACACAGATGAAGGGCTGAGCACTGCAGCCCTTGCTCTGGACGTTGGGAGGCGATTCAGGGTTGTGTAGGGCCAGGGTTTGCATGCTGCGAGGGATAGAAGTTCGACTTCAATTTTTGTTTAATGAACTGATGCAGGGCCTTGATCCAGCAGCTCCGCTTTGACTATGACGAGGCCCCTTGGCATCAAATCCTCTTTTCCAATGCCTTGGCTCCTTGGTGCCTGTGCTTGCTTGTCGATTCAAGGTGGCCTTGTACGGCTACAGCTTGCACGTGTGCGAGCAGGCCTTAGAGGACAAGTGCGGCTCAAGCCTCCTGTTTCGGAGGGGGTTCCAGGAGTTCAATTTGTTGTGCTACCTGGTGCAAAGCCAAGAGATCCTGAAGACCTCGAGTGCATCGCTGAGCGAGCTTTTGCAGAAGTGCGATGTGCAGATGCCGAAGACTACAACGAAAAATCAGAAGATCAGAAGATTGCTGTCGCTGGATGCAGTCAAGACAGCATGTGGCGAGCCAAAGATCCTCAAGCTTCTCGCGAAGCTGGACGAGCAGGATGAGAAGAGAAAGAGGAATCAAAGCAAAAAAGAAGAGGAAGCACAGCAGGCTGAGGCAAGGCCTTATCCAAATAAGTATTGTTGAGGGCCTTGCTTTTTGTCTGGACTGAAATATACAGCATCCCAGGGCGACATCGAGTGGGAAGAGCTCAACGAAGATCCGGCTACTGCGGCCTGCAAAGAGCTTTTGGCAAGACTCGATGAAGAAGACGAGCAGGAGGCGACAATTCTTTAAATGATTTGTGATTCTGATTCTGTTCGCTGCAGTCATAGCTTAAACGAGCAATTTGCCCCTGCAGGATGCGGGGGCGAAGAACGAGGATGCCGAGAGCAAGGGCATCCCGGAAGATGCCAATCGGGCTTCGCGAGCCTTTCTTTCTTCTTCGACTGCTTCGCTGCCAGATGAGCTTCTGGCAGAAATGCCACTACCCGATGGATGTGCCATGCATCAAACTGTTCATGTGGATGCGACTTTGCCTCACTTTCAAGGAAGGCTCTTGCACAGTCAATGCTTCGAGGGCAAGTGACTTGAATTTCACTTCATCATAGCTTTTCTTTGGTGTTTGCAGTTCGATTCAATAGCGGTTTCGCCCACTGAGAACATAGACCGGATTCCCCATCCAAGATCATCGCATGCAGCTTCTTTCAACCCGGCTATCAATCCGACCACACTGGATAAGCGCAAATCCACACTGAAGAGCATCCCGGCGAACCAAAGATCGCGAGCACAAGCTTACTACATAGTTTGGTCGTGGCTCTCTCGGGCTACCGCTGGTGGCCGAGCTGCCAAACGGCAGAAAAAGAAGTAGCACATGTGATGTCTGACGAATTTAAGCACAAGGGCACAGCAAAGCACTCAGGCAGATCATCACATGTGGAGTTTTTCGGGCAGAGCTGTGTGAGCACGGTGCGATGGGGCGCAAAAAGAGAGGGGCGAGCGAGCACCATGACAGGTTGGAGGCACCCAGGGTTAGCCAGCATGCAAAGCGAAGTGCTTGATGAATGGTAGGTGCCGTATTATCTTAGGGACCCCGAAAGGTTTGTCACAATCAGGGTGCCCTTTTGGGGTACCCTAAGTAGTAGGTGCCGTATTAGATTAGGGACCCCGAAAAGGACCATGATTTTGACAATTGCCCATATTGTATGGAACCCTTCTTACAAAGCAGCCCTCAGAAAGCCAAGTCTTTTGGCAGCCCTCTTCGAAGCAATACCCAAATCCGAACTCGCAGCAGCCTGCAAATCCTAAGTCCAAGTGAAGCACCGGATATAGAAGCCTGAATGCTTACTATACTGCCATGCCCAAGGGTTCCGTAATCAGACTATAGAACATACCCCAAAACCCTATTCCAAATTCTTAAGGCCCCTATAAATGCGTCCTGTAACAGGCAGAAAATCAAACCCAGGCATCCTACTCTAGTTCCAGGGTTCCGTTAAAAGAGTCTATAAGGGGGGATCTATGATAAAGGATCTATATATTGGGGCCTTAATATTCCTAAGGCCCCTACAGATGTGCCGATGTGCCCGTTAACTGGCAGAAAACGGAACCCAGAACCCTAAACGGCCTAAAGCCTAAGCCCTAAATAATCCGTAAGCCCCTAAACCCAAAAGCCCAAACACCCTAAAACCCAAAACTTGGCATAAACCTTAAATAAGCCCTAAACCCCAAAAACCCTAAGCCCTGCATTATAGAACCCTGAAATAGGTCCCTGAGAAAGCACTTTAAGGAACCCTGAGCTCAAAAAACCCAAAAACAAAAACAGGCATCCTCGCACTGCCCGGGCAGAGGTGAAGCAGGCCTTTGACTTCAGCGGGCTTTGGGTCTTCCCCAGGGGGTTTGGCAGCCAAAGTTTAGGCTTTGGGGTGTAGGGTTTAGGTTTAAGGTGTAAGGTTTAGAGCGTAGGGTTAAGGTTCAAGGTTTCGGATTTGGGGTGTATAGGGTTTTGGTTTTAGGGTTTAGCTTACTAGGTTTTAATAAGCAATAGCCATAGTTAAGATATAATCGCCTGAGAGAGAGCGATGAAGCCTTTCCTGGGTGTCGAGGGTGTTTTTATCACGTTTAATTTCCTTAGGTCAAGACTATGACGATGGCGTACATAACGAAATCATAGGCTGCTTCAAGCTGGAAAAGGTATCGGTAGTGGGCTCTGTGGGTCAAACCCTAAACCCTAACCCCCGAAGCCCCAGACGATGTTTCGGTAGCGCTGCGGCCAGCTAATCGGCACGAAAGAGGTCACAAGGGCACAAGGATTCTCTACCTAGACCCTCAAAAGTAGGTAAAATAATGGCCCAAAATCTATAAAAGGCTGTTAGTCTACATACTTTGGGGGTCCAGGTAGGGGTGAGAATCATAGGGAGGTAGGGTTATCGCGTTTAGTTTTAGGATTCGGGGTGTAAGGTTTAGGGTTTTAAGAAGCAAGTTTCAGCAAGCGTTTAGCAGCTTAGCAAAAAGGACGAATATCCTACAAAGGGTTCTAGAAGGGGTATAGAAGTGTGCTGATTGAATCAAGGGTATCACTAAGATGGATACTTGAGCTTGCAACCCGGAGCACAGGTGCTGTAGCAACTCTGGGTGCCGCCCTCAGCCCGTAAATCTTTAGGTCGTTTGGGGTCGGCATACGTCTCGTCGGAGGGGCTTCGGGTTTGTAAGGTGGGATTCAGGAATACGGCCTGAAGGCTAGGGCTAGTGTGGGTTTAAGTTTAAGGTGTTTTTTCGCTTCGGGGGGTGGGGAGTTCAGGCACGAGGGGTGCGAGGTATGTCAGATTGTGAGTTGTGTCTCAGGATGTAGGGCTCTCAGTGTGTTCGTGTGGCCGCCACGGTTCCGGATGTGCATAGAGATGTCATGTGCATCGTAGAGGCTACCAGTCGCGGCATTTGGGGATGTCTCATATCGAATTCGGTTTCAGCAGGATCAACAGCTTATGCAGCGACTCTATAACGCAAGCAGCAGATACCAGCATGACGACTCCTGTTCTCGATACCCCTTTGCACTAAGCACTTTGGCGACGATGATGTTGTCGAGGATGAGGGTGCTGAGGATGATGGTGAGGAGGAGAGGATAGTGGGTAGCTGCATTCTTCAGCGATTGTTGTGATTAGTGTTCACTCATCAAGGCATCCTGGGCTTGGTCGACAAGGACTACTACTGCGACCATTTGCTGCCTCTACATGCGATGCACCCAAAATTTGGAGCTAAAACCTACCCTCAAACGCCCTCACCGATCCAGCTTCCCGACTGGGGGCAAAGCAACCTATTTCTAACTTGGCAATCATCACACTGCTCGCGAATCATCGGCTCATCGGCGTCCTCGTGGTAGTACCAGCGGCCGTGGTTGTGGTGTTGTGGTGGCGGCGGTATTTAGTAGTAGAAAAGTATACGAGTGGCACGGCAAACAGGCTCAGGTGATCAAACTAACCGGGGCTTGCAAGCAAAGCGAAGGCATACTTACACTTACGCTTACACACACACACACACGCACACACACACACGAGGCTTGGCAGCCACGCGCGGTGAGAGCAGAACATGGAGGTGATCTGCCTACGACCCCAATGTGTAGGGTTTGGGCTCAGGGAATGTAGCAGGTGAGATGTGGGTTTTCGATGAGAGTTCTCGACAGGCTCCGTTTGGGCTATGAGGCTTCTTTCGGAATTCTTGTGCAGGGTTGTGCTTCCTTGCTCTTTTGCTGGACCCGAGGCTCCTTCATTTCTTTAGTTCTATGATCTTTTCTGACAGTTGATCGAGGTCTGGGGTCTCTTGGGCATCGGGCTTTGGGGTCTGTTGCCTGACTTTTTGGGAGCTTGAGCGTCGCCAGAGTTTCCCATGAAACCTCTTGGTTCCTAGGATTCTTCAGGGCTTTACTGGTCGAATTTTCATCATAAGGCCGAGGGGGGAATTAATAGGTACATAGGTTTAATGTACATATATATCTAGGGCTTAAAAAGGGTTCTGAAAAAAACAGCTATAGGACCGGGGCATCGCACATGCGACCTTCCATAGTCTGCCTGGTTCTTAGTAGGGAATGAGGGAATGGATTATGTGGACTACTATTCGGGGTTATATGGGGACTACTATAGGGATCCATTCCCCCATTCCCTACTAAGCACCAGACAGTAGTTCGGAGGTGTTCTGCTACGTCCCACTTTAGCAAAGTCGGACAGTGCAAGGCTGGTCAACCCAGAGACCCCAATAACCCTTAATTAAGGAATATTCCTTAAGTTATGGTAGGGATCCCTAATATGGTTTAACGTATATTCCTTAATTAAGGGATATTGGAGTCCGGGGATGTAGAATGTAGGCTTAGGGTTTAGGGTTTAAGCACGGTTTTCCGATGTGTGCGATGAAGCCTGGAGACACAAGGATGCCCTGATCGTACATCCAGAAAGCTGTGCGCTTCAAGTCAGGCAGGAGCATCCAATAAGTTGTTGCTTTGGCGCCACAAGCTTCAAAAAATGATACACACTTCTTGGTAATCGCTCAGTTTAACCATACAAAATCCATTTTACAGTCTGCTGTTGCTGCATGCGCCGTTGCACCACAGCTTCCACCATGTCTTCTGCAGAAAAAGCAGAAGGGTGGCTGTCTCAATGGGTCCAGGTCTGAAGCTTATTAGTTGTGGTGCTTTGGGTGCGTAGAGGACCTTAGTAAGTAAGGTTATAAGTACCCTATAATTGGGGTTATAAGCATTAGTTACCCTAATAATAACTCTGGCTACTAAGTCCCATGATCCTTTAGTGGTCGCTCCACTGGCCCTCCACGGTCCCCTGCACTGCCTTTCCACTCTCCCTCCCATGTGCGTTTTCCTTTTTCCCTCCCCTGTCCCTTCCTTGTCCTTTCCCTTTTGAGTGCTGCAGCTCCAGCTTTCATGGAGACCTTAAATGGACCCTTGAATCCTGCGAACATGCCTACACTGTGTTTCAATACAGGGGGTTGGAAATTGATCATACTATTCCTTGTGGTTCCTCATTATTGTCTCCGCATAGCATACACCAAAACCTTATTCGGAACATTGACGCCCTATGCTGTACCCTATACCATAGCACCCCACTGACGATCTCTAAGGAAACCCTTACACAAAAACACTCTTTGAAGAAGCCGTGTTCTAATTGTTAAGGCGCGCATATTACGGCATTGCCGGCAAGGTATTTGGCCGGCACGCATTTGCCATGCTGGCTGCTGGAGACAGAGGCGAACTGGTGAACGCAGTAATTTTCGAGGGGCCCATAGCCCTCCGTCACTTAGTTTATACCTTCAACTACAAAGGGGCTTGTCACGATGGCTGCTACGGTCTCAGGTATGTTCCTTAATCATGAATCCAATGGAAGAAGACACCTTCAATCATAGGGTGCTTGGTTCTTCTGGTTGGCTTGAAGGCAAGTTAAAGGCATTATACCTAAACCCTAAACCCTAAACCCTAAACCCTTATACTTCTAGTTTGGGGGTATTGGACTCTCTTGAAGTGCGGCTGGGGTCTTGGGCGTTTGGGGTTTCAGGATCGGGTCGGATCTTTGGGGTCAGCGGTTGAGGTTTGGGATCTTGGGTTTAGGGTTTAGGGTTTGGGTGTGGCAATTTGTGGTTTAGGGGGCGATTGGATAACACACCCTGAACTTCGGTTCATCACGAACTCCCGACATGTTCTTTTTGAACTAACAGTGTGCCTGCGTGCAAACCTCACATCGAAGACAAATCGTAAACTCTGATCCCAAACCCTATAAATCCTACAACCCCAAAACCCAGATGCCTTTCACTCAAACCTTCGCATTACCAAAGCAGCAGGCCTTAAGGTCGTTGACGTGGCGTCCTTGGCACCGAAAG